AGAAACTATCAGCTGGTTGATATTACAAACATATAAGCAAACACTTTTATCCTAATTTACATTCTATTATGATAATACTAGTTATAGGGAGCTTTATTTTATAGTCTTAAAGGTGAAAATTTCTAGAAAAGCAAACATACAGGAGTGAAAATGTGGAAATGTACATAGTAGACAATTTCATTCAAAAAGCAGAAGTTAAGATCATGAAGAAGTAATGAATTATTATAACAAAAGGATTAAGTTAGAGCACTGGCAAAATAATTTACTAAAGCTAACAAACACTCTACTGAATAGGATATATGCACACCACACATTCACAAGGGACTGGCATCTGAGATCTAAAAAGAACTCATACAACTCAACAAAAAAGAAAACAAACAGTCCAATCAAAAAATGGGCAGAAGAGCTACCCAGGTACTTCTCCAAAGAAGACTACCAGATGGCCAACAGACACATGAAAAAATGCTCATCATCACTTATTGTCAGAGAAATGCAAATCAATGAGATACCACCTCACACCTGTAAGAATGACCCAACTTTGAAAGGCCAGAAACATAAGAGTTGGTGAGGCTGTGGAGAAAAAGGAGAGCAGTACAAAGACCTTAGAAATCTGATGTAGAACTGACACTACTGAGGCGAAGGGGAGAGAATAAAATGAGGAGAGAGCACCATGTATTATGGACATTTTGACGAAGTTCATGGTGCAGTAACAGCACCTAAAAAAGAGATTTTATACCCCTAAACTGTTTACAACACTAAACCAATGTTGCTTCAATAAAAAATAAACTTTTTGGAAAGGTTATTATGGTAATAGGAAAAGTAAATTTGAAGAGAGATGGAGAACATCATGAACATCTTTCTGGGATAATGTATCTAATTGTTATAAGTGACACATCCCTGAGTTAGGTTCTGGGTGAAGTGTATTCTCCAGTGAAGCTCTAACAAGACTTCCTGATGAACTTTTCTATAATCTAGACCTGTCATAGTACAACTATTGGTAGAAGATGTCACTTCACTTTTACCGCTAATACTGTAATTCATCCCAAAGATGAAATAAAGGCTCTGAGACTGGAGATGATACTAAACAGTTCTGGAATCTCATCTTTGTCCACATTCCATTTGTATTTTGCACAGTGTTATGAATTTCCCCAGAATGAGTGTGAGGACATGTCATCAGGGAGAAGTTGTAGGGTTTAGGGAATATTATTAGTGTTTCTCATTTTCTATATTCTTTTTCAAAATTTCCTAGGCAGTTTGTTTCTCATTCTTTCAGAATGATAGTTTTTAAATAATAAGTAAAGTAAAACTAGCCTAACATAATTCATGATTCTCTGCAGCTATTTCTTGCAAGATAAATATGTATACATATTTTTAGTGGATGATGAAGATTTGGGTAGGCTTTGCTTGGCAAAAAAAAATATTTTACTCAAGCCATTGAACTTTGAATTTGAGAAAAAGGATGATTAGAGCTTTATACTGATCTCCTTAAATTAATAATTTGCCATATTGAATTTTTAGGGATCTTACCTATTGCTTAGGTAGCAAGAATTTATAATTATATTGTATTTCAATAAAGACAACCTAATTTATGCTCTAGGTGCCATTCAGGAAAAAACATTGCGAGTAAATTATAAGCAACTCTTGGGTAAATTTTATAGCATAACATTAGATTAAGATTGCCATCAGTATCATAAAGCTATGAGTAATATTTTAATAATAATAATCTTTTTCATACCTCTGTTCTTAGTATTGTACAGGAGATATCCATTAGGATGTACACAAATTGTTTATGAAAAGCTCAGTGTTGTTTTTATTCTTTTTTCAAATTCCAGACATGGGGACTACAGTCTTATAGACTCTAGCCACCTATATCGTACATTCATTTTCTTATACTCTTTTCCTATTTTGTAGTTATTTGAACATTTAAATTATTTTTATGCTAAGCTATAAACTTCTTGAGTATAAATTACCTTTGCTTCAATAGTGCCTTTGTACTTAGTTCATAAGTACAAAATAGAGGAGGAATATTTTTATTATTGATCCCAGTTATTCAAATGTTAAATCAATGGTGGAACTGCTTAGTTGAAGATCATTGATATGAAAGTAATAAGCCATTCTAAATAAGTTAATAACATGCCAATGAAGTCATGAGGATGACTTCAATAGTTTCATACAGTTGAAAAAACAAACAAACAAAAACTAGTTTGCTCACATGTTAAGGATAACTATGGCTGTCAATTAATATTAATGTTTTCATTGCTGAACATGTTACTGAATAATGCTACTTTCTTTCCTAATGGAACCTCTGCAGTGAAAATGTTTCATAAATATCATGTTTTATCCTACAGACATTTGTATACTAAATTTTGTTAAGTCTTTCATTGAAGATGAATTTTAGACAGGCAGGTTCAAATTGCAATCTAGTTGTAATGCTGAAATTTGCAAAGATGTAATTAGGAGGGGGGAAAGACCCTCCAATGTCCATAACACAAAATGTCACTCTGTTAACAATTAAATGTGATAACATTTAAATTATGCACTCCTAGTGACACCCAAAGAATGAAATCTAACCATTAGGATGGCATCTAGATAGCAGATGATTTCACAGGAAAGTATTCAGACCTCCATCAAGTTAAGAATCAATAGAATCTAGGCAACTGTGGTAGTCAAAGACAACAGTCACTGCTCATGAAAGGCCCTTCTATGTTAGCACTATATTAAATTATCACAGCTAATGTAAAATCAACCTTGGTGTAAAAGATAAAAGGGTAAAGTTCTCACAAATGATCACTTATCACTCTGCTCTGAAATGCACACAGCATTCATTACAGATCGAAACGCCACTCAAATTTCATCATTTAGTAGGGTTTTGAAACAGGCAAACCATTAACAGAAGAGAGTAGCTTTTTATATTTATACAACCAGTGACTAATGAACATTATACCCTGTGTGCAAAGGGGAAAAAAAAACAACTTTATTTTGTAATGAACCCAATTGAAGCCCTTTTTAAACACAGTGCAATATGGTTTCACTGTTTCATCGAACCTCTCATTACTTGTGTCAATAATCCTAGGTAAACTACTGTTGAACTTCACAGCATTTATCTAGCAGCATGAATAGCATTAATCTATGGGGTGCCTTTGATGAATTGTAGTTCAAAAAGCAAGGCCAAAAATGACTTCTTACAAAGTGCTTAGAGAAGTATTTATTAGAAACATGTCAACTGCCAACTACCTAAATGCAGCTTGGCTATTTAGGAAACCATGCTGTTGGCTAGCTTGCAAACACTGGGAAACACAGGAATGTTCCCCTCTTGAATTACTTTAAAAAAATGAATGACATACTTTTTATCTAAATATATATATTTTTTTCTGTCATTTCCCTTATAATTCTCTATATTTTTATGTCATATTGCTTTTGATACAATGTGACATACTGTATACATGCCCTCTGGTTCCTTGAAACTGAATGTGAGACTATCACTTAGAAAGAAAAGAGAATCAGACGGCACTTATGTGACTGCAGGGTGTAAACATCCAGGTCAGCATGAGCTGAAAGCTACTCCTGGATTATACGCTGAGGATCTAACTTATCTTCTTGACAGGGCCACTACTATATTCCTTTTGGCAGTAAGCCCGGCGTGGGGTGTCCACAGGGCTTTACCATATTTAATTCTGATTTATCAGTCTAATTTGATTAGGCTGATCTTTACCCAAAGTTGAAATTTGTACAATTCAGGAGATGCTGGAAACCAATCTCGTCGCTCAACTCCACTATCATGAAGTTTATATGTGAACACTATTCACATGAGACTTCATTTTCTTCAATAACAAATTAGTAATAAGAATTGAAGGACTGTATGTACTAAAGTGAGTTGAATATAGAAAAGTCATATGGTGACTTAATATTTCACCTTTTCTTCAATTTTGGCCTGCATCATAATGACATAAATACCTTGGAAGAAAACATAAAGAGGATTAACTCATTCCCTAAAATTAAATCTCTTTATAGAAAATTGGACTTTGTCCCTTAAACTTCTGGGGAGTGATACAGATCTAACCTGTGATGCTTAAGTCATTTTAGTTAGATTCATGAAAAAGATATCATAGGATCATACTCTTTCCATGATTTTTAAAATCCATTGGATTTAATATAGCATTGTGTTTTACACAATACTTCTTCAGACTATTGTATAGTATACAGAACATAAAACTAGTCTTAGAAAAATTTTTCCTGGTGAAATATATAAGAAGAAATATAACATTTGTCTGGAAATTCACAATTCACTCTGAACGGAAAACATGCTTTTTACTGTCCTGCCCAATTTTGTGGATGACAGCATTTGTGTCTCATAAAAGTGCAATTCCATCTACTCATATGTTAAAGCTACCTTGTAAACAGCTATTTTGCTTTTGTTAGTTAAGAAAAACAGATTTTTTTCAGTTGTGGGTACCGACACTTCTTTCTGCCATTTTGTTATATTTAATAAAATTCAGAGACTAGGGTAGATAAGAAAAGAAAATTGTGTTCCAAATTAATGATAATAATAAATCAATGCAATTCTCATTAATAATGTAAAGCTCTGTATGCTATATCTTAAATCAAGTTAAGGTGATTATAATGTATATTTTTATGATAATACACCAAAATTAACTGAATGATTGTGATTTATAACTAAAAGCAGTTTTTTGGTAAAATTTGAAGACAACCACTAATACCATTTACTAGTCACCAATAAAAATCATATAATATTTTTGTAGTAAAGAAAATATTTTCAAAAATAACTTATTTTTATTATATGTTGCAATTTTATTTTATTAGTTTAACTTAAACATATTGACTGTGTATCTTGGTGAAATTATACTTATAAGAAGTTCTTCTGAAAGAAAAAGAGAACCTGGTGAATTGTGTTCTAAAGATTTGAAAGATTTTAATAAATTTAAACAGATTTTTAAGTCATTCATCCCTTAGTGTATAACGATAATCAAAAATGTACTCACCATGCACAATGAGAACATACTCTGCACTGCTTTGGCCAATGGTGTTTGTGGCTTCACATCGATAAGTACCATTATCCGTCTTATTCAGGAAAAGAATGTTTAGCTCCCTACCACTCACAACCATTCGATCAGGATCTGGTAATTCTCCGCCATCCTTTGTCCACAAAACAGGTTCTGGCCTAGTGGATTTAAACATGCATATAGATAGGTAAAAAAGAAAGATTACATAGTCTGTAGTTTAAGTAAATTAAGCAATTTATAAATATTTCAGACTTATTTTGCACCCATGTGTTAAACTCTATAATGTACCAAAAGGACCTTCATATACTCAGAATATATGGAGATAGGCAGAGATAATTTAATTTTATTTAACTGAAAAGACACACAAGGAAGAAATCTGTTGAGTTATAGCAATCACTAAATAAATCACTCACTAATCACTACTGTCCTGGGTAATGTGGCCCTGATTATACTGCTTAATGGTTCCTATTTCCTACTATCTGCGTATCTGCCCTTCACTAGTGGAACAACCTTTCTTAGAGGTATCTGGAATTAAACGTTAGCAATTGAGGTGTCACTGTGGCGCAGCTTTACCTAAAATCATTAGAACTTCCCTCTCCTCTTCTTTAATTCTGCTTTTTTAAAACTGTCCTAATGTTTTTTCATGACAATTCTTTTTCTCCCCAGTTTTACAGATGACAGTTAACATTAAATAACATTGTTTTATTTTATGTTGCACAGTATGATTTGTGTGTATGTAAGTATATGTATGTGTGTGTATATACACACACACATATCTTTAGATGACTACTACCATAAGTTTGGTTAACATACATTATCTCCCACTATTCAAATTTTTCTTGTTATGAGAACTTTTAATATATAATCTTTTCATAATTTTCAAATATAGAATACAGATTTGTTAACTCTAGTCACTATATTGTATATTACACACCCAAACTTAGCCAGGAAAAATGACTAAAAGCAACCTAAATCAGAAAGAAAAAAATAAGACTGTCTTACTTTCTAAATAAATTTCTATTAAATAAAGACTAAAAAAAAAAAAAAAGTATGAGACCTAATGAACCGATTGTATAAAGTTTCAGGATACAAAATCAACATATAAAAATCAATTGCATTTTTATACATTTAACAACAAACTATCAGAAATAGAAACTATGAAAACAGACCCGTTTATAATTGCATTAAAGGAAAAAAATACATAAGAAAAAAATTAACCAAAGAGATGAAAGATATATACACTGAAAACTATAAGACATTACTGAAAGCAGAGAGAATGATGAAATAAACTGCTGAGAATCACAGCAGACAAGGAGGAGAAGTATACTGTGCCATGTGGGTTACCTCCCTTGGCCAGGGATTGAACTTGAGCTGTGGTGGCTGCAGATAGCTTTGTAGTGCTGTGCTTTAACCCACTGAGTCACCAGGGAGGGTCTTGAAGATATATTTTTCTAAAAAAAACTTTTATAAGATGAAGGTAAAAGTTTTGACTAAACCATAATAAATACTGGAAATAGTACCAAGGCAAAATTATGAAATAATAGTGAGTCACTTAATCTAAGTAATAAAAACACTTGAAAAAAGCCAGGATGAAGAAAGATATCATCAGGAAAATATTCATGAAACTTCTCAAATAATATTCTATAAAGATAACAAAAAATCTAATTACATACCAAAAAATTGGGAAAAATACAGAAAAAAAACAAGCAATTATTATACAGAGATTGCAATCTCAAAGTTGCCTTTACTAAAAGGCAAAACACTAATACTTCTTAACTTGTTTCATATACCCCATATTTACCATTTATTCTTTGACTTTGCTAATTTCAATTTCTTTAAATATTTGTGTATTTATGCCCACAGAACTGGGGTACTTATTAGTGGTGCACAGGCGGTGAGAGGATTCACCAGAGGCAGAGTGGGAAACAGACAGACAGATGAATGAAGTACACTACTGAGGGGAGCAGAAGGCAGATCAGGAGAGGTCTGCTGCACCATGTGGATCACCTCCAGGGCCGGGAATCAAACCGGCACTGAGGCGGCTTCCACCAGCTTGCAGTGCTGTATCCTAAGCCGTTGTGCCACCAGGGACAGCGCTACTAATTTCAATTTTAATACTGATACTCTGGATAATTTTGTTCTATGTACATCATTAACATCATTTGAAGGACAATAGTATAAAATATGACTTGGTACACACATATCTGAAATAGCAGAAATTTTACCATTCCTATAAATCACATCAAGCTATATTAAAAATAGCAGTTATATTAAGGATAGCTTGATTTTTAAAAGACACATCCTTAAAATACCACTAAATAGAAGTGTTTTATTGTATGGAGACAATATATTTTTGGTGTATAAGTTGGAATTTTTAGACATATATAGATATCATTAAAAACCTGTACCACACATTTCCACATATTCAACATTACACCCCCCACTCTCATAATTTTTCTTTCCTTATGTTCAATCATGTCTTAAAACATACAACTCTCTGAATATGTATTTAAGTTTTGATATAATTTTTATTGTGTATATAGAAATGAAGTTACATACAAAGTATTCAAATTGTCAGTTTGTGTTTAAACACTTTTTTCCTAAAGTCATTTCTTTTTTAAACAAAATAGTAAAAGACTGTGACTATGGATAACAGGAGACTGTAGCAGTATATCTCACTGCTGACACTAACATTGGATTATTCTTGATCCTACTCTATATGGTAAATATTTAACACCATAAGATGCAATTTTAATGAAATGCAGGTTAGAGCTTAATGCATCAATTATAAATAGCCCACACATATTCTGATTAATGCTTAAAATGTTCAAGTTTTTTAATATCACCAGAAAAATATTAAGTGGTTTAGCAAATCTTGATACAATTTGTGTTCCATCTTAATAAAGAGGGCCCCTAGGCTTTCTCTAATTGGAACCCAGAAATGATTGAGTTTCTTGTTGGAAATGAATAACAATCTTCCCTGCTGTTCAGGCAACCAAAGGAGATCATTTAAAAAGTGGCCCCAGTTTACAGTTTCTGTGTGATAAGGCTGAAAAGAGTAGAAGCTACAGGAATAACAGGACAGGGACACAGCATAAGGCATGAGTTAACACTAGAATTCCATGGCGAGAACATTAACATAGACAATCTAGAGGGTTCCACCTTGGAAAGTTCAAATAATTAGAGTTTGGAAATCTTGATAAGATGAAACTAGATTTATTCTCTTGTCTAACAAATATGTAGGGCTAAAAAGAGGCTTGATTTTCCTATGCATTAAGGACTTTTTGCAGCAATTTCTTCCTAGGGTTAGAGAAAAGAACAAGAGGATAAAAATGAAAAAACAAACAAACAAACAAAACAAAAAACAAACAAACAAAAAAACCCCAACAACTATATTCTCTTGTATTATAAAGTCTTGATGAAGTTTTTCTTTCTTTTTTTAAATCTTTATATATATTTTAAAATTTTGTTGCTCAGTGTTTTGTTTTATACATAGCTAATAAAATATTCTCAGATAGCTTTAACAACTATTTACATGTAAATAGGAATTATCAAAGCTCTTCAGACCACCATTCTTTAATACCTTGCATGCAATCCTGATAACTAATTTCCACGAAACTGGTTAGTATTGGGGCATTATTCTGTAAAGTTTTGCTATTGTAACAGTTCTCCTAATTCTTTCAAATGTGTATGGGACCATCCATTCATTAGGCATGAATGAGACGAGAACCTTACCATCTAGTCCTCAAGCCCTCATCCTCTCTTCTCTTGTTTCATTAAAAAAAAAAAAAAGTTGGAAGTTCATTTATGGAAAAATAATTCCTACACTACAGGTCTCCAAGGTAAAGAATTCTGATGTTCTTGCATAAATAGACAGCAGTAAAAATCTTTCACATTTTGGAATGAATGCACCTCTAGCATCTTCCTTTTCTAAATGATTTCTACGTTGGGATCTTTAGTGTCTTTTCCTTCATAAGTACAATCCATGATCAGTGTTAATACTAAAATGAATCATATGAAAATAAAACTTTTCTAGATGAAAGAAAAAAAGTCACTAGTGATATTCAAGTAAAGGTCTTGTTCTAACTCAAAGACAAAAGATAGACATTTACAAATAAACAACTATGTTTCTTTTGAAATAAGACAGAAGAAACTCACATTTAATAATTTGGTGACTTTTGTACTTATATTGCACCTGAAGATGACTACTGCCTTTAAATCACTTTGGAAAATTTACAGGTGCTATGTGTGATTCAAGTTTTTATACCAGGGAGATTTTTTTAAGCCAAATTTCCTTCCATCTCTTGTGATATTTTAATTCTAAAATCATAGAAGGTGGTAGGAGTTATAGAAACATCTTGAATCTTTTTTCTACTTTAAGCAAATATTCCAAGTCAAGAAATTATACAGAAGTGACTACATAAAACTCTGTGTTTATGATATCGAAGATTTAGGGAAATGGAGGTGAAGAAGTTAAATGCAAACTTACTGACAGTGGGTCTGAAATTGAGCTTAAGTAGAAAATGTCATGCTTACTGGGTTCGAGTAAGATGTGTTCTATGAGAATATTTGACTTGGCATTCCTCATTGATATACTGAAATCACAATGATAAATGATTGCTCAACCATGTTTAATCATAAGAAGAATAAGAAAAAGAAGAAAAAAATTGGAAGTTTGGATTGCTTATTTTTTAAGAAAATATATCTATATGGCAAGTTCCAGTAGTAGACTTTCTTAAAGCTGTGGCAATGTTAGCAATAATATTTAGCAATAAATATTTCTCAGAGGAGGATATTATTGGCAAACAGGAAGAAATAGAAAGGAAATACTTGTGAAGCTATTTATTATTCCTATTTAAAAACATATAGTTATTTTGCTACTCAGGACCAAAGAGATGTTTCTGAACATAAATTGAAAATAATATTTCATATAATTTCAAAGTGATATTTATTGTAAAAATATTGATCAGTTCTTTTGGAGAGTACATAAAGCTGTGATTTTAACCCATTACATTAGACTTCTGTCCATTTTAATTATAATTTGTTTTCCTTTTATCCCTGAATTAATTTTATTATTTTATTGTGTAATTCTTAAAACATCAAATAACTTGTACTCTAGTTGTTAACTAGAGTAAAGGTCTTGTTCTAACTCAAAGAC